TCTTGGAAAGTAAAGTCCCTTCAACATTCTAACCCACAAAGCATATGGGTTTTGAATAACTCTCCAAGCAGTCTTAGCAAGCATAGCTAAGTTAAAGTCAGCAAAATCTCTGAAACCTAATCCTCCTATCTTTTTTTGCTTGGTTAGTACATTCCAAGCTTTCTAATGGATGCCATCACCTTTAGATCCCTTCCCCCACCAGAATTTTGAAATTAGGCCATCAAATTCCTTACAGGTCTTCAGAGGCATTTTGAAACAAGTCATTGGGTAGACAGGAACTGCATTAGCCACAGCTTTTATCAGCACTTCTTTTCCAGCTTGAGTGAGGAATTTTTGCTTCCACCCTTGAATCTTCTTTATCATTTTCTCTCTGATAAAAGCAAGAGATTCAGCTTTTGATCTGCCCCAGATAATAGGAAGACCAAGGTATTTACCTGGATCGCTTGTTTCTTTAATCCCCATCCACTCACAAACTCGATTTCTTCTGGTTTCATTAGTGTTCGCAGAAAAAAAATGCCAGATTTTTCCAATTAACCAGCTGGCCTGATGCTTTTCCATAAACAGCAAAAATTTCCTTCAACCGTCTTGCAATTCTTTTTTGATGCCTTCAGAAAGAACAAAGAATCATCTGCAAATAAACAATGTGACAGAGTTGGACAAGACCGATTCATATTAATACCCTCCAACACTCCACTTTCAACGTTTTTCCGAATCATATTAGATAGTACATCTGCAACCATGATAAAGAGATAAGGTGATAAGGGGTCACCTTGTCTCACTGGACAAAGGGAATAACGCCTGCTGATTTCTAGCAGCTATGGTTGAAATAAGACTGATTTTTAATTGTAATGTTAGCAGTAAAGTTTGAGGGCTAAATGCTCGATTGTCTTCCCTATAGTTCATTTAATAAGTTGTATTATTGAAAGGAATTAAAACAACTTTGATTGGATTAATGAATAATTTAGGGGAAGGTGCGAGTGAGTGATGTTGACAAGACGCAATGCGATGCAGAAAAGGGGTGAAATGGTGGAAGTGACGAAAGGCCACGATGCCTCACGCTCGTCGTCTCTGCTTTCTGCTTTCTCTATCTTTACAAACACCCATGATTATCATGTGCGTCTTCTTCTTCCACTCTTCTTTCTTCACTTTTACAGGTCTAGAGTTCCTTCCCCCCCCCCCCCCGGGACATACTATTTGGATGAGTCTTATATAGTGGAATAAGATTATGATATAAGCAAGTCTTGTGAAAAATATCGGAATACAAATAGAGATGGATGGGAGGTATATTTTCACCTTGTTTAATGCCTTCCTGGAACCCAAAACAAACGGCTTTGTGAGGAAAATAACTCGCTCCCATTTTCAGTGTAAAAATTAGTTGGAGTAGCATTGAATTTATAAAATTTTAATTCATTTTGTTTTTCATATTTATTATTCATTCTTAAACTAATTTACCAAATTTATAAACTAAGATAGAATCCAATGTTATATAAAAAACGTGTCAAAAGAATGATGATATATTTGTTATAACTAATTAATTGATTTAACTTTTTTGAGTGTGCTCAAATTAATCAAGAAATATTAATATTGACAGTTCAGGCGGAACCAATTATAAGAAAAGGGGTGCAGTTCTACTGTACCACGCGGGAGAAAAGGTTTCAGGGGTGTTGCTCTTTGTTCAGGATAAGCGTGATAAAAAGAACTTTTACTTTGCGCTGATGACTTTAATGGCCAGTGGTCCTCTCCTCCCTCTGCGGGGCTGATCCTTCCCTGTTCTTTCTATTTAATACACCCATCATGCCTCCTTAGATCTCCTCCTCTTCTGTCACCCATCCAATACATCCTCCCTCTCTCAGTGATTTACTATTCCTTTACTCTTCAATTCAAATGATTGTGTTCTATATGCACCCTTATTCCCTCTCATCTGAGAGAGAGATATATATACCACTCTAATTCTTATTATAAGTCACATGTATCCCAAACCCGCAAACCAATAAATACATTAAATTAATCAGCTTTTTTTTCATATTTACCCTTATTAAAAGTTTAGAGAGAGAGAGATGATGGATTGTATAGGAAATGAAAAGTTGAGAGAGAGATAGAGAGGGAGATTAATTAATTTTTTATTAAATTAATAGGAATAAAATTGAAAAAGGATCATTAATTATACTACAAGTGACTTATATTTTGAAACAGATTTTTGAGGTACAAGTGGCATATAATATGGAACAAAGTGGCATATGTATCGGAGGGAGGAAAAACTGTTCCGACTTCCTGTGCCTGCTCGTTCCCCGGGCCCCCTGTCTGGGCTGAGGAAAAACCTTCTTCCCCCGTCACTTGTATTAACCCTCGCGACCCATATCGATTGTTTGCTTTTGAGGTGGAGAAGGGGCTCTGCAAATTTCAGTGACAGGTGGCCCAGGCCCAAAATGAAATGATGCGACTCATCTATCATTTTCCCTGGGCCTATGGGGACCCACGTGCGTGCTAATCTGGTCGGTGGCCATCCGATCACGGCATGAGCGGGATGCCGCAGTCTCGTCGCTGCCGATTGTTCCCACATCTCAGATCAGTCTCATTAGACTTGTTTAAATCTCGATTATCTGAACTCATTTGATCACACACAATACAAAACAAAAACGCCCAACAATTACATTATTAAGAACTCATGGCAATGAAAAAGTGATGGTTTGGATGGTATGAGCATATTGTAAGATATTATTATTATTATTATTGCATCCTAGACATACGCATGAGTTAAACAAGGGAAACGAATCGAACAAATGGTGGCATTAGTCCTTGCTCCGCATAGCATTCTAGAATAACGAGCAGCCATTCTTTCTCGTTGGGGGAGCTATAATCAATAAAATATATATATTTATCTTGAATATGTGTGAATATAAAAATTACTTCCAGAAGAATTACTTTCAATAAATTCTAATGCCCCTCCAGTCCTTAATATAAGACTTATTTAACTAATTTGATTAGATTAAGAAAGTTAGGTAAGTCAGTTAATCATAAGAAATATAACATATTTTTTCTAAAATATCTTAATCATCTTATTTAATATCCCCTTTCCCTCTTCTACATGATTGTGGTTGAAGGAGTATCTATGTGGGTAATTTAGAAAAAAATTGATAAATATGAGAAATAGATCTTATATTTAGGACCAAAATCAACTCAACAATTAAGTCCTATATCAGATATCGGAAGAGTAATACTTAAATCTAGTTCCTCGTTACTCTTTTTATGCATACAGGGGGAAGCCGGCGGAACATGGCCACTCTATAAGGGTCCTGATTGGTGGAAACAGGGTGGGGACGCACATTAAATAATCACACATAGTGGTGCTATAGAATTGAATTGAAGGCTGAAATGAAACGTTCGTCAGCTTCTCTGGCCATTGAATGTGGAAGAGTAGTATGGTTATTATAATGGCGCCCCGCACAGGACAAACAACCTATTCTGGCCCTCTGATGATTAGCCTTCATATCCTCCCCCCTCGATCTTCGTTCTCTGTCAACCCACCCCTCTCATTTCGTGTCACTTAACCAATATGAGCATCTCTCTGTTCGTTTTCCCTTTCCAAATGCCAACACTCTCACATTTAATACTCTTTTTTCTTTTTTTGTGCCGCGGGCTCCGCTGATGCTGTCCTAAGCGTTTCAATTGAAGTTGTGTTTTCTTTGTTACAGCTTGTCCGTTTCGGTCCTCAACTTATTAATTGCGCTTGTGGGTTATGTGGTGGCCACCTAACTACTAGCAACTACCGCCACATCTCATGGTTAATGCGGAAAACAATGATGGGAAATGGCTGAAAGGCTGAACAACTCAAAAGCAATTGCGAATGAGTGAAAGAGGCAGCAGAACAACCTTGTAGGAGTCGGTTAGTAATAGTAGTAGCCGGTACACGATGGTCTTACGTTGCCCAAACAAGAAGAAAAGACATGTTTTAGGTGAGCCGTGGTTGTTGCTTTGCAAACTCTTGTTTTGTTTTTTACGGAACAAACGTGGCGCTGTTGGAGGCAGTATAGACCCCACATAGCACAAACCGTTCACTAATAATAATAATAATGATAATAATTCTTCCAATCCTATTTATAAGTCCTCATTTGTAGATTATAAATAAGGTCTTATAATTCGGATTGGAGGGTAGTATATTAATTTCCCGTAACAGAAATTGATTCGATTTACTATCGTTTCGTTTCATGTTTGTTGTATGTATCTATCAGTATATACAGGGACCCGGATTCTTAATTATGGATTTATTATATCGTTTTGTTTTGTCATGGTTATATATAGCAACTATATATGTGTTTATCGTTCCACGTCCGTTTGGTCTTCTCACTGCCAGTAGAAATATTCTATGCAGACAATTATTCAAGTGGATTGCTTGATCGGTAAACAAAACGTGCCCCCTGTTCTTTGACCTACCCTTTTCTGTGTTGAACTGTTGATTAATCTCATCATGACCTAGTCAATTAAAAAGAGAGAAAGGGACGGTCCTCTTATTCAACCGAAATGAAAACCATGCTGCCAAGCGACATCTCAGTTATTTCATTAATGTGGGTTTGAATATCTAATTTTCGTTTTTATCTCCAAAATTTGTGGAACGTATTGGCAATAACAAGTTAATATGGAACCATCATGAGAACATTCACTTTCACATGGATTGAGGTTATCTAACACTCTGCGCTGCAAATTAAAGACTCTACGTTTTTTCTTCGAAAACTGCGAGAGAGATTTGAAAAAAAAAAATAGTGAGAATGTGAATTGATTTCTTTACAGCCTTTAATTTGCGGTTTGAAAGTTGAATAAATCATTTTATGGGTTGAAGAACATTCCAAAATTAGAACTCTACCTGTAGGGAATGAGAAATACTTTAGATCACCGCGGGCTAAAACTTTGTGTCTTGCACCAATGTATCTGATCTAACAAAAGTACGGAGGAATATAATGATGTATATCTGATCTAACAAGCTGTTACTCTAGTAATATAATTCATGAGATCAAATCATATTAAATTAAGATACGCATTAAATTAAGGTGTGAAAACCTTGATACATGCTGGGTAAAGATGGGAAACAATATATTGTGCTATACAGTTATACAACCGGGAACCAAGCAGCTTCCTGAGCTAACGCGCAAAGCTACGTTTCTGATCTTAAACTACTCTCTTTATCCTTTATTTCCTCTAAGGGGGGTATAATGTACGTAAATAAAAGCAAGAGGGACATGGCGATAAAAATCAGCAAAAAAAGGGGTTTTCTTTATGGATGAAATAATAAGCAACCTCAGCTTCCCATATGTATTTTATATGTAAATCTAATATATGTATATAAGTTTAATCAAATGCCTCCAAAATCTCTAACAGAGAAAGGAGAAGTGTCAGGGATGTTCCCGGCGTGGTGTAGCCCTAGGGTGAGCGACACATCACCGGCGGTGGTCCCGAACCTAATGAGAGTAGATCCGATATTGTTAGCAGTGGCCGAGGCGGTCCCGCAGTCTTCTGCAACCATGCTGCCACGCCGACACGTGTCATCATGACCCTGCAGAGGCAGGTCTGATTGGAAGCATTGGGACACGGGCGGCGCCACCTCAGAGGCGGTGGTGGTGGACGACTGTTGCTTTGCTTGGTTTTCCAAGAGGGCTTGTCTGTTGATTGCCACGAGTTGGGGGTCTCTTTCGGAGGCATTGACGTCCGATCTTTTGGCTGGCGGCGTTGTTGGTGGCACTGACGCTGACGCCGTCGCTGTTGATGTGGTAGTAGCCGTGGTTGTGGTGGTGGTAAGCGTTTGAGCCGTGTTGTTGCCACTATTGTTGCTGTTACTTTGATTCATTTCTCTCTCTTCCGCGTCCTCCGCTTCTTTAAGCTCTTGCTGATACATGTCCTCCACCATAGGTTTCCACAACCTTACCCTCGCGTTAATGAACCAGTTTGATACCTGTGTCACATCCAAACCTGTTATCATCTAAACCCTGCTTGCTTAAAATGTGACTTTAAAAGTACAAGCTGTATATCCACACAATGCTTTTTCTGGGAATATTTGAGCATAGAAATGCATTCTGTCAATTCTCACATTGAAGGTGACAGTTTAGCCAGCGCTCATAAATGAACAAACGGTATGGGCATAATTATTGGGGAGGGAATTGTGTTAAGTACGCATGATAATTGACCATGCAACGTCTACTGAAGCGAATACGTCGTGTTTAGAAGAGAGGACACACTAAAATGGCCTTTTCTGTGATCACGGTGCGGGGCTGTGAAATGACTGATTTGAAATGATGGGTAACTTGGCTGTGACTCAAACAGACAAAAATCACAACACTATTCATCAGAAGTTCCCAGTTAAGCAGTACCTACGAACTTTATTACCCTACCAGTTTTGAACTGACCGTCACAGGGTACTGGGACAGCTATACTTGGGCGTAAGTATGTAGGCTTCTGCGTAGCAATTAGCAAAAGAGCTGTGAACTTTGTTTTCTGGGATAAAATTCAAAGCACGATATTGTGCTGGTATGATTAGCTGGGATAATGTGGGACAACACTGTGGAATAAACGATACCTATGAATGCCAATAGTTTCAGAGGCATATAAGCATATTATATTATTAAAACTTTTAGTAAATTCATATTTTATCTTCTTATATAAAATTTATTAAAAATATCTTCGTATTATAAATCATAAATAATATAATTTAACACGAACTCTGAAGCAATCCATTTCCTAATCTAGTTATGTACTATTCATAAACGAAAAGGACAATATATCCTCGGAGAGGCAAATTTTGTGATTTGTATGGCGGACAGCGCAGAAAAGAAGAACAACGATACCATGAAAATATGACGAGATTATAAAACGAAAAGAAAAAAAAACCATGCGAAAAATTAAAATATACTAAATTGTGTTCAGACTTTAGACTAATGGACTATAAGAGCTTGTATTCAAAACACCGGATTATGCGTTAATTAGAAGGGACAAACCTAACAAGCAAACAAAGCTGCATGAATATGTTCCTTTGCATTTGCCGAAAAGCATATAATATTCGGGGACAAACCGACGCGCCTAGAGGAAATTAAAATATGTAAACTAATTGCACGTTTTGTTCCCACTTGGGTTCCATATATCATGCACTGGGATCAGTGGGTGAAAGCATTAGATACGAAACAGAAAGAGTATGATTCGATGCTGCATTTCATTATATTGCTTCTGTACTTAAACCGTCTGCGCTTTTATTTTCAGAATTTATGATCGGGAAGGTAAAGATTCGAAATCAAAAGATGATATTTTAAAAATTGAAAAGAGGCAACAAAAAAAAAAGGAAAGGGGGAAAAGCAATAAAAGCCTAGGTTGGCAGACAGAAACAAAACCTGAAACCACATGTTAGTCCATCTGAACTTACAGCTGGTCCCTGCACTTCCATGGGGTTTTCCTTTTCTTTGTTACATGGGTGGATGTGGGCCGGGCGTTTTTTTTTTTTTTTGACAAAAGGGCGTTTAATTATTCACAGCCTCTTAAACTTGTTTCTTATTCTCTCTCTAAACTCATCCATGACATACTGTGTAGTATCTGTAATTATATGATGTGTTTTGTGGAAAGATAAGAGTGGGGAGAGACGAACCTGATTTCTTGATAGGCTAGTCTGTCGAGCCAACAGATGCTTATCTGCATCGCTTGGATACCTGGGAAAGAGACCAGAAAATGACATCAGAGTCCTTCCCCTTAACCGTAGAATGAACACCCAGCTTTCTGTAACCCTGTGCCCCCCTCGCTGCAATTGAACCTTCCCTCCCTTTTCCTTCATGGGCGTCAGAATCTAAGCCCATGAAAGAAAGATCTACGTCCTAGCTGCCACTACAGCAGAAGAAAAGTATATCACTGTACACACTGACCGCACTTTCTCTGTCTCTCTCTACTTTATCCCCTCTTAATCGCTTCACTTAACGTACGTGTATGCTTTATGAGAGAGACGCGATGAGGTAATATGCGGCTAAAGTTAAACCATTAGGATGCTGTCTTTACAGCTTTTCGCTGGCTGCACAATATCCCAAGAACACTGCTATGTTACTGCATCACTGTTCCTCTAAACGTTGATCATATATGACAAATAAATGATGGCTTTTAGATTCCCTCTTTTCCTGTGATTAGAATTAAAATCCTAATTTCAAAAAAAGAACTGTTAATAGTTAAAACCTAGACCTCAGGAAAAATAACAAGGTCTGATAGTGCAAGTAAAGAATGAGGCGAGGCACAGAAGAAAATAGAAAGAACGTACGGGTGGAGGAAGTGCTCGAAAAGCCAGGCTCTCAAAATGTTGACAGAACGTTCGGGAAGACCTCGCTGGGGTCTCCAAGCCTCCTGCTCCATCATGCCCATCTGGTGGAAGGCTCTCTGCTGCCTCAGGCTATGCTCCAGCAGCTTCAACCTTGGAGTCTCACCCTTAGTCAAACCCGACGAACCCAACCCGTCTTTCTCGCCCAGCAACTCGCAACTGTGCTTCAGTTGTGCTGATATGGCATCCTTCAGACATCGGAAATGCCTTGACATTGCTTTCTGTGCCAGCGCCGTGTATGGCACCGCCGCCCCAAAACCCATCACCAAGTCAAATGAGTTCGCTACCATTTGCATTTGCTCGCAGTAGTGACCATATCTTCGGTCCACCTGCATAACCCCAAATATTATTTAATAAATTGACTTGCTGCATACAAAAATACGAAAGAAAACCATGGCTACTAGCTTTTATTTTTTATTATTATTCGTCGAGGGTATTGCGCATACATGTTATTATTTACTCAGAAATGGAGGTTTGATATTGATTTCGCTGGATGAAGGACTGCCAACTACATCTAATTAATTACTCCAGTGTGACTGTGTGAGTATTAATTAAGGAAAGCAATCTATGTGTGCCATCAATCAAGTAATAAGATAGGGGACTCCATTCAACCCATGCACAGTCAGTGAAAAACGAAAGGACATATATCGTAGATTATGATTTATTTGGAGATGGATAGTTTAGTTACCATTTATTGAATTTGGTGAGACATTGTTTCTTCCCAAAGAAACCCAGAATTTAATAAACGCGCGCGTGAATTGAAGGATATAGGGTTGGGTGAAATGATTGTTAATGGGAGCAAGGCACATTGTTTAGCTTTCTTTTTCCCTCACTCTCCAACTGACTAGCCTCTGTGTGCACAAAGCCATCAAATAAAGAAAGAAAAGGAAGGGCCTCCCAGGTCAACTGAGACATGGTAACAAACTAACAATTGCTTTCACTTTAATATCAGCAATGATGGGTATGTATCAGGAGGTGGGAGAGCAGTGGCATTCATAACAACTTCCTACGTAACGTGATGGCTTAGATTGGGGGTATTACTAAACAGAAAGAACGTCGCTTCTTGATGGACGTCTTCTGCTATATTAAATGGACTTTAATTTACAGAAGGAAGATATCACGTATCCGTACCAACCGATCCTATAGAATAAGAATTTAGAGCCCTATATTATACTTGCCGGCTTCTTTGTTTTCAATTTATTAAAAAAAGATAATCAAAGAAACCGGCCGAAGAATGTGCGTTAATCCCTGTGCAGTTTAATATGATTTTTAAAAAAAAAAAAAACAACATGAAGGGGCTAAACAGAAAAGAAGAAAAAGATCTAGGACCTTGACTCTTGAGCATTAAAGAGGTAAAGAGAGAGGGAAAGTACGTGCCTCGTCAAGCATGGAGAGAAGTTTGACCTTCCTTCTCTGATGCTCAATCCTGTCGGCGGCTGACAAAGGTGGAGGATCTTTTGTTGAGGATGAAGAAGCAGCGGCACCAACACCGGAATTGGAATTAGGGTTGGAGTTCTGCCTGCTGAATTTGTTCTTCTTGAATTGACCCCTCCCAACGCTGCAGAATTCTTCAAGCAACTCTTTAGCGGGCTTCACATACTTAGAGTTCCTCAGCACATTTGCAATCCCTAACGATGACCCGAAACCAGCATGGACTTGGTGGTTCTGCGCTATTCCTTGTAAATGCAATGTGTGAGTTTGAGTTTGACCTCCTCCCAAATTCTTGTACGGATACTGAGCAGATGAGGACCCTCCTGCCGCACTTTGACTGTAATAATTAAGAAACCCGCTATCGCTCATCCTTAGTTCCTCGGCTTTCGCTGCTTCTAAAGGAGACGACAACGATAAAGAAAGGCCCTGGCCTTCCACAACCCCTCCGATTTCACCCGGATTCTGGTTGGTGTTGGCGTTGGTTCCTACTTCTTGAGAACCTGATTCAGAAAACGGAATCCAGGTGAATTGACCAAAAGCTCCTCCCGTTCCGGGGCCTGCAGGGAATTGTTGCAGAGAAGAGGAAGGATTGGGGAGCAACATGTTGAGGGTGGAAGAACTAGTGGAAGGATTGTGAGGAGGGGAAGGCGATCTTGTTTGAGGATTCATCAGAAAAAGCTGCATGGCAGCCGCTGAATCCGCCGCATTCATGCTTGAAATCTGACGCTGATGAGGACGGTGGTGGTGGTGATTCTTCGAATCTCCAAGACCACTTATCATGCCTTGTTGGTCTCCGTACCACTCACTGCCCATCGCAGTAGCCTGCTGTTGTGGCCTGCTGAACGATCGATACGTCGCCGTCAAGTGTTGTTGTTCCAACAATTCTGAAGAGGTGGCGCCGGAAGGAGGGAAACTAAACATCTCGGATAGCATCCCGGCGGTTTCGTACACGGGAAGGCCTCCGGATTCCTCTTCCTCAATACCCACTAACGGTGGTGGTGGGTCGAAGCCTTGCACCCTCACTTTGTCCCTCCGGATCTGCGCCTGCTGATGAGGTTGCTGAGTTGCAGTGGATCTCTCGAATCCATTCGAGAAGCTGAAGATTCCTGCCTGATGATAATCTTGGGACATGGACATAGAATTGGAAAAATCGGACTTATTGTCGACGGTAAAAAAGGAATGGTGGCTCTTGCACTTTGAGTGAGAGATTATTGATGCAAGTGGCGGTGCTGCTATTCCCATCTTGAAATCTCGTTGTTCGTCATAATTGTCGTCGTCGTCGTCAACTTCTTTATTTCCTTCGGCAGCATCACTTCAACTGTCCAGTTTGCTGAATTCGACAAGGATCAGTGCCAGAATAACCAAATCTAACAATTAAGAAACATCCATCGAGTTACTGTAAGTCGATTATGGTACAAGACACACATGATAGACTAGAAACTAGAGAAAGAAATAGGAGAAGAGAGAACCAATGAACTGGCCCCCGGCCCCTCCCCAGTCCCCTCATCTAAACATTAAATTTTCCTTTTATCATTTTCAGCCTTGTTCATCATGTATATATATACACACACACACATAAATATAAAAACAATATATATGTACCTCTGAGAGTCGCATAGTATGAAAGGAATTGAAGTTCGCAGACATCGTTTTCCCTTCTGTGGCAATTGAAAGCTTCTTCGACTCCTCTCTCTCTACCCCCTCCCACACTCACTCTCTCTATTGTCGCTCTGTCGCCTCTCGTCTCTTTCTTTCTCTTTCTCTCCTTTTCTTTATCGTCTTCGGTTGCTCTCTGGAGTAAGAGTTCTTGCAATCTCCTTGTGGTACAAGAGAGATGCAACTTTCATATACATAAATTATTGGAAATGGAGGGTTCGGGGGGGTGCTGATATGATATCGGTCTCAAAAATATAGCAGGAGAAGGAAAAGGGAGAGGTCGCTGTTCTCCCTCTTCAGTCTTCACCCTCTTTTTTAATTTTTCCCCACCAATAATGCCTTTTTTTATATCTTTATTTATCTGCATAAAAATATATTCTCCCATTTGACAAAAAAGATACAAAAATAATACTATAATAAAGTTGTAGTGGAAAACCATACGCAAAAGAAAATATTCATGGTCTGGAAAGACGACAATACCCCTGCTAGACAACAAAGTTTACCAACACGATGGTTGGAATTACGATCCAAAAGGATCCAAACTGACGTTTTCGGCAAAATGATAATCACAAGGAAAATTTAACGTGGCTCAACATTTATTTAATTAATTTGGCGAGGGGAAATGACGAAACTACCATCTCCAGAGTATTGGTTTTTATTGTCATTTGAATACGTGGTTTGGGAACCAGCGCAAACAACGGAACAGTGGGGGGGAAAATAAGATAAGGGGTCAGTACAAAGTCATCTCAATGATCCAAGCTACCACTACCTTTTGGTGTCATGGAATGACTATAGTGCCCCGAGATAATGATTCAGGATGACAAAAGTTGGTAAGGGTAAATGAGGCATGTGAGGAGCTAGAAATTCATTAAATAGGCCAACCGAAGCAAGATAGGGAAAGATAGATGGCACGTGCCAGTGGATGGGCAAAACAGACCAGTTAGGTTGTGTAATGGGAGATGTACACAAGTATGTGGTCTGAAAATCACCCATAACTGCTTTGAGAGCTTTGGCACTGTCACGATGGGCATATTCATTTTCCCTTTTCATGCAGCCTTTGATTTTTACAGGTGTTTTTCTTGTCTCCCCCCTTTTTACTTGCATTTAATTATACACACACACACACATGTGTGTGTGTGTATATATGGGTCAAAAGAAAGTGCTCAGCTTTATCTACTGCTTGTTGCTGAATAATAATGAGGGGGCGCTGGTTAGTTAGTCAAATGTATATTGCCTTGAATATTGTTTTACCTAATTACTTAATAATTTTCTATTTATATGTAAACTATTTTCCTGGCAAGAAGAGGAACCAGTTGTGTGTGTGTGTGTGTGTGTGTGTGTGTGTGTGTGAATCCAGATACGGGGCTGATGTACATAATGTTGCTGATTAAGAATGAATCTGCTAAATTGATGATTGCTGCAATCTAACTCTCTTTTGGGTGGTGTGTGTGTGTGTGTCCAATATAATTACTGTGCATTAGATTATGTAAACTTTATGTTTGACTTTTGCAAGTGTTATTCGGACAAGCAAACTCCTTTTTGATGGTTTCATAAGCAGCCCGGCCCACCTTTTGGCATCCCATTTTTCAATTTTAATTAAAAAGGAACATCTCCCATTAATTATTTATATTTATCTATTTATTTATTCGTTTCAATCATGTAAACCCATCATTAAAAATTACAGCTCGATCTCCCCTCTATTCCCCTCCATCTCTTATATTATTACCTTTTTTTCATATTTTACCATTATTATCGAAAAAATATCTTTTTCAAGGGCAATACATGACATGTATACACATACACTACTTTATATTCATCAAAGGCAAATCTTAATTCCAGATTCCAAGTCTGGATAGGCCATGAAATTCTCTATATAATAATATTCTAATTGCTAAACAGCATGTGCTGCACGTTTTGGCATGTATATGGAAAAAGTTGGTGTTTGATTGATGTTGCCATACAAAATAAGAACAATTAAATCCATGCCCGAACTCATCTATCAGATCAGTTGCTAAACTCTCTCTCTCTCTCTCACTCACAAAAAGGATCCGTCATAAGCAATTTGAACTCCGTATATATTCGCCACAACACCATCGAAATTATGAGAAATATTTAGCCAACACATGCTAATGCTTTAGTTCAGTTTGAACAATTCACATTTGATGGAAGAATGTACACTCTGCAATTAAATCATTCTTCTTGTTACCATTTCAAATGCTGCGATAATAGTCAACCAAAAGCAAGAGCGCCAACCCCTTGGACTGCCTAAGCTTCGTATGATATTTCGCAGATAAATTATATATTATTAGGGTTACTAGAGTCACTACTTGTCAAGGTTAATTGTGTGTGTATTTACACTTGTGCATATGTTCTTCCCGTGTTTTTAATTTAATTCCATGTCATTCGACACGACTTCTTGATTAATTACAATAAAATTTTGCTGACCTCTGTGAAATAATATGCTGGAAAACGCAAAGGGAAAGAATTTAGTTGTTGGGAAGACTTAAGTACTAAGCCTTGTATAATTAACACGCCTTCATCCAATTAAATCAGAACCAGTAAAGCACCAACGGTGTCAATAAGGAGAGTTTGTTAAAAGCCAAAATTTGATTAAAAACAAATACCTTAAGCATATAAGCTTTATCGGCAAATTAATTATGTACCACCTCCAGTCCTTAATATATGAGTTAGTTGATTAATTTGAGTAGATTAAGAAAACTAGTAAGTTAGTTATTTATGAAAAATTTGTATTGTCTTTCCTAAAATATTCTTGCTAATCAAGTGTGTTAGTTAGAACCATCATTATTATAAGGATAACCTTAAAAAATAGATAAATATGAGAAATAAAAAGGATTAGAATCTTATATTTAAGATCAAAATAAAAGTCAAACAAACTCTGATATTAAAAACCGGAAGTAGTGTATAACGTGGTGAAGAAATCTGCTCACAAGACCATGTTAATTATATGTTGTCCTGCCTGCTAGCAAACACGAGAAGTATTTGAATACAGCCGGTGACGTGCGCAAATAATCTTAAATATAAACGTAAAGGTCTAGAAGGAATAGATTACAGATACCTGGCTGTGTTTAAATATATAAAGATAATATGAATATTTAATAATATCCTGCCCCCGTCGGTTACTAGCATACATATATAATTCCATTTCAAGGTTGAATGATGAGCGTTTACCCATCCAGACCTGTTTGGATGGCTTGAAGTTGCAAGTATAGCTAGCTGGGCCTATGCAAGACAAAGGAGGAAATTAATGTGTTTTGTTTTTGGTTTGGTTGGTTGATGAGGTGAAGTGTAATGATTTAAGAATCCAGTGCGTGCTCTTCTCAATACTCTCATTGACTCAGAGACTGGAAAAAAAGGCAATATATTTGAGGGAACAAATAAGCTTTTCCTCTTTATTTCCCAACTGCAAGGCGCGAGCCGCGATTGACCCCCCAACCTTCTTTTGGCCCTTTGGGGCGGGTCACGTGAACCCCGCCCTCTCCTCTACCTCACACACGCACGCCGTGGGCCCCCTCCCTCACGTGCCAAAGTAGGCAGCGCACGTGTCTCCAGTTTTGTTAGCAAATAGCAGTCCATCTGGAATGCAACATTAATTTTTTAAAGTTCACGCCCAAAGTTTGGAGTGCCACACTGCTTTGGGAAAGTTGTATGCAACCCCGGCCCAGCCGGCCAGCCACCGCCCTTCATCTGTTTTAGCTACAATTGCCTAACTTTTGGAATTTAAAGCCCTTTTCCACTTTTGTCCCGCTCTCTCATCTTTATTCATCTCTTTTTAATAAAAACCATTATGACCTGTTACTTATTTAACGAAAAACTATATATATACATAGATCTCCACGCTTAACCTCGTTATTGATCAGTTAATTCCCACCGTGCATGAAAACTCATGGCCTTCCATCGCCGTGTTCTCTTCTTTAAATTTTCAACTACTCGTAAATCTATATGTGTGTGTGTGTGTGTGTGTGTGTTCCTTTGATTTGGATATGACCACACCACCCATGCATCCTGATGATATGCCGCCTTGTATATATAATGGCCAATAAATTATTGCCCCAATTATATGTGTGTGTGTGCAATAATGTTATGTGTGTGTGTGTGTGCTAGTTTGAAATGTGTGATGTACGTGTAGAAGGGGATGATGGGGTTGTGTGAATGATGGTGGCTAAAGGATGAGCATCTATCATACGCACATAATTATAAGTGTATTAATGCGATAATTATTTGGGGGGCAGGAGGATGGCGGCTTCACATGATTATTAGAATTGTCGCTTATCTAAAGTGGTGCATATATTTTAATCCTACGCATTTTTCTTGGAGAAATTACTCCTCTTGTCCTTAATATTAAACTTGAACAAGGAGTTAATATTGGTCTTATATGTATGACATATTTATCAATTGTTTTTCAAATTAATCCTTTATTATACTCCCAACAATAATTAAGTAGGAGAAGGAAGGAGGCAATGAATTAAGAAAGATACTTAAAGTGTTTTAGAAAAAACATATCATACTAACTAATTTAACTAATATTTTTAATATATTCGAATTAGTTAGTTAGATCATATATTAAGTATCGGTTTTGGTCCTATATTAAGCATCGGCATTTAACTAGGACCGTCTTCCCACAAGGTCTGCATACATATCTTCATATATATATCCATCATGTGCTGAGTTTCTTGAGAAATTATTGATCATCATTGTTACACGTTGTGCCCGATCTTGCCGCATCAATTTAACAACGCATCCCAACGCCCCACGAACAAATTAAATTTAGTTCAACAACATTGAATTTAGTTCTACAACGTCATATTCCCTCCGTCTCTTATTATAAGATTCTTTTAACGAAATTGTACAGTTTAAAAAAATAGTTAAAATTAGTTAAAACTCATTAATATGTAGCAGGTATAATTAACCCTATATATAAATGGTTAGATGTGAGAAAGTAATAGTGAGATTAATGAACAAAGAGAACGTGTTAAATGCATTAAATTAGGGCCAAAATAGGTAATAGTGCATTAAATACTCAGACAAACTTAAAGAGGATTTTATAAAAAAAGACAAGCCCATTCAAAAAATTAGATTTTATAATAAGAGACGGAGGCGCACACACACATATTCAAGTGATCTACTGGAATCACTTCATGGTGTTATTCTTTGCTTAATATATATAGCATCTTGATTACTACTTTTGATGAGGCGCAAAAAAAAAGAAAAAAGATAGC